CACTGTCGCTACAAGCATGCTTAGTGTGAGGGATTGCTGAAGAGTCAATGAGTCGATGCAATCAGCTGGTTTTCCTTAGATAGAAAACGTTGTATCAATCTGACTGGATGATCTGGTGAACTGGAAAGGGCCTTGAGGTGACATGATGTGAATTGGCACTAAAGAAATAAACTGAATATAATAGAATAGAAATCACTTTATTTCCCCACACGGGGAGATTGTGGTTTTACAGCAGCAACAAGATTATAGCTAAATGGTCACACAAATATGGACCTTAGAAAAATGTATAAGAATAACAGATTAGTGAAGAGTTAAAATATAAACAATAAAATATGGTAAAGTGTTTTAACAATATAAAACTGTAGAATAAATAACCAACATCCAGCTATGGACATTTTTACAATATTTAACTGACTGAGGTAGAAACTGCAGAATCATCATAAATGGAAGAACTGATTGAGGTTGTTGGGAACAGTGGTGGTTCTAGAGTCTTCCAGCTGCTGGGAGGAAGGATCTGTGATAACGCTCCCTGGAGCATTTAAGGTGCAGCAGTCTGTCACTGAAGGAGCTGTCCAGTTCAGCACCAGCTTCATGAATGGGGGGGGGGATTCTCAAACATAGATGTTCATTTAGTTAGGATCCATCTGTTTCCCACTTCCTGCTCTGAGTCCAGAGGGCATCCAATCAGAGCTGTTCTTCCTGATCAGCTGATCCAGACGCTTCCTCTCAGCTACAGATGAGCCACTGCTCCAAGAGACAGCTCCATAGAAGATGGCTGATGCCACAGCAGAGTCAGAGAAGGTCTTTAGGAGCGTCTTCTCAGCCTCCTCAGCAGGAAGAGTCTGCTCTGACCTTTCTGATCCAGAGCCTCAGTGATGGGAGTCCAGTTTGTTCTTCAGATGAACACCTCGGTACTTAGACGAGTCCACTATCTCAGTGTCCATTCCCTGGATGATCACCGGTGGCAGTGGGGTGGATCTATGGTAGCTCCATGGTTTTCCCTGCAGTAATCAGGAGGTGGTTCTGCTGGAACCAAAACGTTCTGTTCAAAAAAAACAACTTCTGTCATCATTCTGCATGGCCAGACCCTCCTACCTCCATCCTGGGGCCTCCTGTCTGTATTTCAGTATGAACAATGAGTTGGTTTTAATTACTTTTTTTACGTTTTAGGACATTTTCATAATATTCTTATATATTTATTGCTTACATTGATTGTATTTTGACAAATTTGTGTAGTTAAGTGCTGGTTTTAGGGAAATTTAAAATGGCTGAAGTCTGATACATTTAAATATTGTTAATTAATGTGCATCCACCCAACCAATTAAATAAATCTAATTCCTTATATTTGGTCTATTTAATTATAATCCCATCAAAGCAGTGCGTCCATAACATACTTATTCTCATTATTTTAAACAGTCTGACTTTAAAATGTACTTTTTGCACATAAATTCAATTGTGAAGGAAAAAAAGTCGTGTGAACGGGGGGGGGGCCTTTGACGTAACAATTGCTCATACTTTCCTTGTAAAGTTTCAGAACGCTGATTGGCTGAGGTCTTACCGAGCAACGCCCCCTTTTTTCATGAGTTTCCGCTCAACGTTACGAAACCTGGAGCGGACCGAACCACCGCAGCAGAGCGGAGGGGTGCGCAGGAAGATCCGGCCTTAAAATTCAGGTAGGTATTATTTGGTCAGCGGTCTAACTAGCTCTATAGAAATGATTAAATAGAGCTATATCCCCTTCTAAAGAGAACAGAGGGTCTGATCGACATTCGGAGGTCTCGACAGGAAGTTGTGGACCGACCCATCAACCGGTCCCCCCTGCCTACCGGCATCTGGGAAAATGATGTAACTTCCTCACCGGCTTTTCTTCTCCTCACTCCGGTTCATCGCTGGAACTTTGACTCAATTCTCAGCGGGAGGTTGTGAGTTCGGTTCCGGAGGGCCCAGAATGAATCCAGCTCGTCGTTGTTCCGTCTTATTCAGCCACATGTCGTCTCTGGGGGGACAGACAGCCCGGACGCCGCTTCTCCCGGTGGGCGCAGCTCCTACGGTGGCCCGCTTCGACCACACCGGCCCCGGTGGAGGGGGAGGGGGACCCGGAGGCCCGAAGGCTCCCAGCGGAGGAAGCGGAACCAGAACCGGAACCATGGCGGCACCAGGTAGTTACTGCTTTCATCTTCATTCACTTCTGTCACCGCGGCGTGACGTCACCAGCTGAACTGGGCTTTCTGAGCTGTGCGTCACCATGACAACCGAAATGAGCGGTTCGGTGTGAGTAAGGATCCGAACCGGAGGGTCTGCTGCCTCATCAGAACCAGGCGGTCTGTTCTGATCCGAACCTCTGCGTTCATTTGGACCTTCTGGTTCTGGAAGAACCATGGACCGGTCCAGAGATGGTTCTGACCCGGATTGAACCCGGTTCTAATACCTCGAGTAGAACCGGGTTTAACCCACTGGTTCTGGTGCGGTTGGTGCTGAAGGCCCAAAGAAGCCAACAGAACCACAGCGCTGGACCCAGAGGTTTCCTGACCAGAACCAGCTCCGGGTCTGAACGGGTCACACACTGGGCCAACCGGGTCCCCTGGTTCTGAGGTCCAACTAAACAACAGAACCGGTTCTGGAGCGGGTCAGATTTCTACAGAGCCGGGTTGGTCCATCTCAGTCCAGGTTCTGCTCTGTCATCAGGGGCGGTCCATCAGAACCGCAGCCTTGTTCTGTTCACCATCCTCTCTGGTTAGTGAACCCAGAACCGGTCGGGCCGCTGAGGGTTCTATGATTCTGACCCGCTGCAGACAGCAGGGTTCTGTTTCTGTGCTGTGATGAACCGGGTCTGTGTTCTGGAGAACCAGATGCTCCTCATTCCTCCTCAGGAACAACATGGCGGTTCTGTTCTTCTCAGAACCGCTGGGAGCAGACCTTTATTGTCCTTAAAGTTCCAGAACCTTTAGTTCTAGTGGTTCTGTCGGATCATGGACCCACAGGGCTGATGTTCGGTTCCACACGCTCCTCCTCACATCCAGAACCGAGCTACTGATGGGCCCACTGGGCCCGGTTCCTGGTCTGCTGAACCAGGAACTGCTGGTCCAGAGGACCGCGCTGGGTGGTTCTGAGGGTTCTGACCTCTGAGGAGCAGCAGGCTGTGAGTTTGATACCAGAACCAGAGGTTCTGTTGGTGAGCTTTAAATAGAGGCATTCTGGGTGGAATGGGTCGGACTGTAAAGGTTCTGATGATGATGAAAATTTTTAAATGAATGAATTTAATTTTCAATCACTTGAATCCAGAATCATTCAGAAATTGAATTACAGCTGATAGAAACAGTTTCTATCATCATCATCATCATGGTGGAGCAGCTTAAGGTGGGCGGAGCCTGTCAGGTCAGAATGGCTAATGACTGGTGGGGGGGGTTTATCTGCTGAGTCACAGCAGAGTCAGCCGCAGACGTCCTGGCTGGAAGCGGGTCAGTCTGTCTGGGAGAAGGCAGACACGCCGTCCTGA